GGTAGTTTGCTGGGAATGTGGCTCAGAGGTTGAGTGTCTCTGCATTCAATCCTTGGCACCAAAATAAATAGAAACAGGTGGAACTTGAAATGTTTAACTTAATCCAATATATCAAAAACACTTTCAGCTCAACGTGTACTTTTTTTTTTTTTTTTTTGGAAAGTCTTTGAACTCTTGTGTGTAGGTCACACAAGAACAGCACAAATTTGGACTAGCAACAATTCAAGTGCTGCTGTTGAGTACACCTCCAGTGTTGTGAAACATGGTTAATACCTATTAATTTCTTTACTGCTGGACTTTCCATAGTCATTGATGTGCTCAAGTACATCAGGCATACTAATTTACATCTGCTCAAGCAACACAAATGGACTCATACTAAACCATGTGGTGTCCCTAGGAGAAGCTTCTTCATGCACTAGACTTTGAAGACAAGACTAACAAAGGACTTACATTTCTGTATTTCACTCCTATCTGTGACACTTTGTAGGTAGCCAACACTGAGTAATTTATTAATCTCTCTTAAATTTGTGTCCATATCTGGAAAATGGAAATCTTACTGACACTGCAGCACCACTTTAAAGAATAAATGAGAACGTTAACGAGAAGCCAGAAAAGTACCCAGTACAGGGCTGGCACAGAATGAATATATTATACATGCATTTTAATCTCTATATTAAAGACACCAGAAGTGAGTACCTATACTATATTTGAAACTATGTATGAGTTTATAGTTTTGAATGAATTCTCTTTTATTGTCAAAATTTCAAGGGACTTTGGAACTATGTTGTTTCAAATCTGCACCTAGAAGCCTCAAGTGCAGTACATCAGAGGTGGGTCTTAGAGGAGAAAGGGCACATTATATGGGCTCCATGCTTCCACTCTTAACTTTAGTCAGAAAAATTCTTTAGGTAAGTCTTTAGGTAAGTTTCCATTTGAAAGCAAATATCCTTTTAAAGTTAATTTATAATCTATAATAGAAAATTTAAGGATGAAGTAGAATGTACTCTCAAGTCTGAAAAAAGGTTCTGTTTATTAAAGGTAGACTGCCTTATGAAGTAGATTGCTAGGAGAACTGGTCAGTATGGAATGGTAATGACTTGTATTTCGAAGTAAGGGAAACATATCTACTACTACATTGGAGTGTTGCAAAGCAAGTCCTGTGCAAATCACCTTAGTGAATTTTCTGATGGTATAGTCCATGTTCTGCAAAACTGACAATGCAACACTATTTAGTAAATGAAAATTAAAGGCAGAATTGTTTGGAAGTAGCTTTGACTTGTCTTTTTTTGATTTTCAAAAGTGGGGCAAGGAGCACATTCTGTAGTTTCCACAAAAATCATTATAATTCAAGAGTGCATAACAAAATTCCAAGTAATATCTGATCTTCACAGTGGTTTATTTTGAAGACTAGATTTCAGTGAAATAGCCCAAGCATTTGCCAATTTAGTAAAACTAACTACTATACATCTCATTTAACAAAAACAGGAAATCCTGGTAAGATAGAGAATATACCCAGTGTGTTCCCACAGGAGTAAAATTTTATGAATCTTTTTTTTCTTCATCTGTTTTTTGCTACTTTAACAGAATGCTGAGAAGGGGGAATGCAGAATAGAGACTTACTTCTTACAGTTCTGCAGACTGGGAAGTCCAATGTCAAGGTGGTGGCCTGAGACAGGTGCTGGAGCTCAGATCTCCTTTTTTTCTTCTTATAAAGTCATTAATCCCATGATGGGGGCCCCACCCTCATAATATATCATCTGACCCTGCATTCAAATATCAATCATATTTGAATTTGGGGATTAGTTTCCAGAACACTGACTTTTGATAACACTTTTGACTCAGTTTGGGTCACACACCATAGCACCCTTCATAGAGAATGCAGTTGGGTAAAGAAGTTTATTAAAGCCTTTGGTGTCTTGGGATTCCCCTCTATGCACCTTCTTTTAAGTGATGCAGTACAGTAGCATTCAGGAAGAAACAGCACATTCCTTTATTAAAAGTGGCTAAAATAGACCCCGCCTAGATTAGTCTTCGATGCATGTTTTCCTTAAAATTATATCATTTAAATTCCATTACAATGCATTGTTAATCAGAAGAATGATCTCTTTGAAACCACAGTGTTTCATCCTCTTTATAGATGAAGACCCAGGAGGAAGGGAAAAAATTCAAAGAAGCTGGAAATTACTTGATCTTATGCATGGTGCTTGAGAAGGTTTATCACACATACTGGGGTTGTTCTAGTCAAGCGACCTCAGTTCTGTCCTGTACAACCACAGCCAATCCCTGTCTGTGCATATTTGGGTGTCTCTTGACTTGATGAAATGTGTTTCCCAACTTCTAATGTAACTAAAAAAATCCCAGTAAATAAAAGAAATCACAACAAACACCAAAGCAAGCAGTTATTGGTTAAGGAAAAAATGCCTGGGAAACAGGCCAGTGGAGTTGTGAAATATAAAACTCTTTTGATATAAATGTATTTTAGCTGTTAAGACAGGGTTTTGAAGTGCAACTAAGAAAATTTCCCAAACTAACATTAAAAATAAGTTTTCCTGTAGTTATGGTTACCTTAAAATTACAGGGAAGCATCCTAAAGTTGATGCATTTTCCTCTTATTCACAAGATCCAGTATCTCTACTAGTGTGAGATGCTCCACAGTTTTAACTAAAGATGAAATGTGACAGCTATTTTGGTTTTGAGGCATTTCATACAAAATGCATATCAGTAACTTTCTTGGTAAATACAGATTACATCAAAGGTATTGTAAAAACAAATATTCCTTATAGTCACCACCAGCAAAATGTATTGACAGTGTACTACATGCCATGCTCCCTTCTAAGCGTTGCACATGCATTGTGAACTTAAGACTGACTATAAACATTAAGATGGGCTATTGAATCCTATTTTTCTCAGATAATAAAAAGGAGGTACAGCATGATTAAATGACTTGCTTGAGGTTCACCAATTAAGAGAGTACCAGGATTTGAACCCATTCTGGGTGCTGGGATCTAGGATTTTCACCATTACTTTCTACTCCAAAATGACACACTAAGAAATGACCATGCTAAACATCTACAATATCGGTCAGCCTAATATCTGTAATATTGATCACATTATTCAATATATTCATTATGCAAGGCACCAAGGGTAGTTTTGCAGACAAAAAATGATATAAAAATTCATATAACTGTGCTCTCAAGTAGCTTCAAAATCTAATGGATGTTAAGATAACACAAACAGCTTTGATATAGCACATAATATGTACTTTTTTAAATGTAAAATTCAGAGAAACTCAGAAAGGCTGAGTGAGATAGAAGAAAGATCTCATGTACATTTTCTGGAAAAAAAAGAAGCATTCTTTGGAGTCCTGTGGCAGACAGGGGGTTAAAAGTCTTAAGTTTGAAACCTTCATCATGCTCAAGTTAACCTCTCTGAGCCTCTTTGATCTATCTCACAGTTATTGTCAGCATTTAACAAGCATCCAATATGCATTCTATCTAACACTTTTCAGTTAAATTAAACATGATTGAAATAGATCAAGCATAAAAATAATTTTTTCAGATAGGTACTACAATGAAGGGAACTATAGATACCACAAAAGTGTTAGGGACTTTAGGAATGGAAACTGGGGCTTTCTTTTCTTAATAGGTTTTTTTAAAAGAAAATCAGTCTTTATTTTTAAGAGTGAGAGTAAGAAGATATACAGATTTCTCAAATAACACTGCCCCACGCATGCACAGCCTCTGCCATTATTTATTTATTTTTTTAATATTTTTTTTAGTTCTCGGGGGACACAACATCTTTGTTGGTATGTGGTGCTGAGGATCGAACCGGGGCCGCACGCATGCCAGGCGAGCGCGCTACCGCTTGAGCCACATCCCCAGCCCCGCCTCTGCCATTATTAATATTCCCATCAGAGTGGTACATTTGTTACACTTGATGAGCCAAGGGAATTAAAAAGAAATTGGGACTTTTGACTCAGTTTGGGGAACTTGGACTGGTCTGGCCTGCCATGTACAGCCAGGGAACTGAGAAATGTTACTGGCAACTCTACATAGAGGACCAAGTACTTCTCTCAAAAGGACAGAAAAGATACCAGTGAAATCTAAAAGAGGTATCACAAACAAAAGTACTGATGAGTAAAATAAAATTATTAACAGATATGAATGAAGACTTCATATGCACCAGGCAGTTTCAAAGCATACAACATGTACCATGTGGTATAATTCTTAGAGGAGAGAGCCTGGGCAATGAACAGAGCACTACTTGGATGTAGTATAGGAGGAGAGCAGGGAGTAGTGAAGTGGGCTCAGATGATGGAGAGCACTGAATGGGAGGCTAAGTTATATTTCATTTTATTGACATGTCAGAGACAATGCAGGTGACTGCACAGAATGCAAAATAGTCACAGCTCTTCATTAACTAATCTGAGTTAGAGGACGAAGAAGTGGGAGATGGAATTAAATTTAGTTTGTCATCTCAATTGGGAAGTTCAGCAAAGACCTGAGTTCATCAGGTTGCTATGGGAATGGAAAACAGAAAAACAAAATTAAAAAACCCCAAACATTAAAAGATGTCCTTGCGGGTATGCCCCAAATGACTAAGGACCTTTCAATAGTACCCAGCTTTCAGAGATTCTACCACCTCCCAATAGCACCATCCAGGGACCCTGACTTTAAGCATGGACTTTCTGGGGGACACTCAACATCCAAACTACAGCAGGAGCTAAAATATCAAAATAAAGGGTGACAACTAGATTCCAGGGAGAATGATGATGAATTTAGTTTGGGGCACACTGAGCTGGGGCAGGTGATGAATTCTCAAAAGACATTCAAGCAGGTAATCCCAAACATGGCATCATATTTCAATATGAGAACAAGTGGGGGAGGTAAACTCAAGCTTCTGAAATAGAATTGCAAAAAGAGCACTGTGAAAGAAGAAATAAATATACAATACAATGATACTTAAATTCTAATGCATATTGGGTTTAGCCAACAGGTTTGTAAAATTTTAAAAATTTAGATTTATTAGGATTTATTAGTAACACAGTCACAGAGAATAAAGTTCAAGAATTCACCAATGATGGTCACCAGTATGTGCTTCTTTGTGGCTTTTAAAACCATATTCCTCATCATTCAAATTTATTCATAATTTAAATTTCAAAGATAGCTTCACAATGTGGATCTTACAGGTCTTCCATCAGTAAAATTAATGAAAACATATCTTTCATGAAAGGCACATAAAGAATCTAAACTAACACATTTAAGGAATTTCGCTAACTTTGAATTTCTTTACAAAGAAGGAAAAAAAAATCCCCTAATGAAACAGATATGAATGTAGTTCATGGTTACCCATACACACATCTATACACATACTTCAACAAACATACTTGAACAAAATGACAACACATAACTAAACTCAAGAACCACTTACCAGCAACGCTTACTGAAAGACTTAGTTTTTCAGGATGAGTAAAAAAAAAAGTGGCGGGGGTGGGGTGGGGGGGGAATGGGAGCAGGGAGTGCTGTTCATTTGGTTAAAACAAGGTCACAGAGACACCTTGTAAATAATCGAAAGAAAAATGATTCTACCAATGTTCAATATCTAGCTGATATGTAACACTTATTTGACCATACACACAATCACTGATTCTGTTAAATACTATTACTCATTTTCTAGATGTTACTGTCCATTTAATTGTCAGAAATAACAGTATAATTTAAAAAGAAAAAAAATATAAATTTCAACAAGAGAATTTGAATATCTAAGAAAAAAAGTCATTTTAACATAGTGTTATAATTAAATTGGAAACAAGTTACATGTGTGAATTTAAAGCTTACATAAAATATCAGCAATAGAGTATTCAAAGATCTTTTGTGTTATCCTGCAAACAAGAAACTATTATGTATGCTAAGTACAAGGGATTTCCCAAAGGAAATACACAAATGAATGTCTCAAAATTCATTATGCTAAATTATTTTTTTACCCACAAAATGCTCTCAACATCCACCTAAACTTAGTTATAAATAAAAATGTAGTTATTTAAAGTGTATAAAATTAATCTGGCATCACCTTTAAGGTAATGCATGAATGCTATCCAGATATTAAAATTCAAAGTGAAAACAAACCAAATGAATAAAAATTATGTGTTTATAAGTCTAAGATAGTATATCCTCAAAAATCTGAAGTTTTAATTTTTCAAACTAAATCTAAGGTAGAATCAGAGCAGCATGCACTCATTAAATAAAAGAATGATTAAAATGCATACATATTGAAATAATTGATCCAAAGGCAGGTATACTCATCCTTTTTAAGAACGTTTCAATAAAACACATTAAATTTAAAGAACAAAACATGTTATTAAAATAGTCTGTGCAATGTTTGTACAAATAACATTTTTATGAATCCAAGTATACATATAATCAAGATAAGGGGCTGTGACATTTTCTAATATCAATTATTGTACCTAAAAATTTATAGGACATGAACATAAATAAAGCTTTTTAAAACTGGCAAATACAGTAAAAGTCTGTCATTCAGTACAAGGTACTTAATATTTATGTTATTTCCAAAGCCATCACACTAGAATTATAAGTTGCCACTCTTAAACCTAAAAGTAATGTGGGAAATAAAAGTTATAAATACATTATACATACATTTGCATATTTACACTTACACAGAAATCAATATACTAGAGCCCAGCGTTAACACTGTCCTTCATTTTCACATTCAGGACCATATTTCACAATTAAGAAAGGTCCTTCTGTTACTTTCAGCTAAAGAAACAAACAGAACCACTTTGGTCAGATCCCAGATGCATCTGCTGTATAACTACATTCTGTGTTGCTGCAAGACTCTAGTCTAGAGAGATCCATACATAAGTACTCATTTGGTTTGAAAATGCATTTTACTATTAACTGCAAAACTTAGAAGAGACCACAATCTTTTAGATTATTTTTTATGATGACATCTGTTACAGCATCAAAAACAAACTGCACGTTCTTAGTATCTGTGGCACATGTGAAGTGGGTGTATATTTCCTTTGTGTCCTTTCTTTTATTGAGGTCTTCAAACTGACATTGAATATATGCAGCTGCTTCTTCATATGTATTTGATCCTGAGATGGGAAAAGCAAAGAAACAATGTAAAAAATTAAAGTATTTACACTGCTAAGCAAAAGGGATCTTAGAATATAAAATTTTGACTCTGTAACTGCATTTTGCCTTATAGAATGAGAGGACTTGTCTAAATGAAAAACACCTAACAACCTTTAAGGACTATAAGTTATCCTTAAAACTAAAATCTCCTTTGCACAGTATTCTATATTTGTTGTGATGTTTGTTCTGACCTCAATCTCCAAATGCCCAATCTTCTTTTTACTCTTATCCTCTATCATCTACAGCTCAAACTGAATCACTAGAGTGCCTGATGGTGGCATGCTATTGCAGTTCTAGTCCAGTGGCAGATCAATAATGCTGGCAGAATGCTTATTTTTCTACCCCTTTCTTATTTACACATTAACTAACATTTATCATTTTTTCTTTATTCAAAAATCGTACAAGCAAGTACAATGTAGCTTAAGGCTGGGATTACAAATAGTGAATTCCTTTCATGTCTTATATGATAACCCTGTAAATGAAACAAAATCCATTGGGGTGCTGGGCTTACAGAACTCATTATATAAAGGACAAAGAAGCAGTAAAACTTGAATAGTTTACATTTGAATTCTGATGTTGCTAGCAGATAATCATATAATTTAACAAATCAATTTTTATCTTACTAAAGCATAATAAGATTAATGCTCTGAAATTCTGAAGCAATGAACAGTGTCTGCTTGAACCAAGGAAATCACTATAACCCCTTCACTAAAAATATGTTTTGGAGAAAGAGCTTACACTGAGTGCTCATTAACTATAAATATTCAGCGTAGTTGTTTAAATTACTATACCAAAGAGCTACAAGTTACAGGACTGAACCAAGAAGCACATTTCTTAATCTGACTTTAAGTCTTAAGAAAATGACAGCAAAGTGTGTGCATCAAGGTGATAGCTATTTTTGAACATGTGACGGAACTTTCCTAAACAAAAATGAGTACACAAAAAAGGAATAAGATCATTTTTAAGAATGGAGAACTGAGAAGTTGATGATATAATTAAAAAGGATCTGAGTAAAAAATATGAGCTTAGTTTGAATTTCAGGTGCTAAGAAATGTAGAGGGAACCCAGCAGTTGGTAATTCGAGCCTGGGACTCCAGAGAGAAATTCAAGTTGACAAGAATGTGTCAGAGAACAGATAAGTCTGTGAAAAGGCAGAGTGCTGAAGGACTGCAGGACTGCAGATGGAATCCAGTGAAATGGCAACATAGGAAAAAGAGGTAGAGGAAGAGAGCACAGGAGCAGGCAGAGGCTGGAGATACAAATGAGGGTGTGGCTTGGGGGGGCAGACAGGCTTGTTCCATAGGAAGCAACAGCCATAAGAATGAGAGCTGAGGCTGAAGTAAGCAGCAATTGAATCAATACTTACAGCATGCAGTGCAGATTTTAAATTATAATCTTAACACTGAAAATATGAAATAATGATCTAATAAATCTTTGTGGGCAAAGATTCTGAAATCAGGAATTCTTGCTAATTTGACAACATAAGCCAAAATCTTGAACACATTGTATACCTGGCAAGGAAAGGGCTAACAAGTACATGCTTGGTTGTTGTAAAATTGCTATAGGTATACAATATTTATGGACTAATTTGGATACTTTTTTAATGAATTAATACATAATAGCTACTTCAACATAAAAAACAATAAAAAATAAACTGAAGAACATGTTCAAGTAAGGAAAAACTGAGCTACTTTATTCTGAATTACTCCAATCTTGGAATTTGAACAATAAATAATTTTATTCCTAATAAACACTAAAAATCTTTCTGAATAAGGTAACTTAGGATAACATGACTTTCCAAAAGCAAAAGTTTTTAAGCAAGTCACTGTATAAAATTATTGTGAACCAAAGTATAGCTTCACAACACATAAAAAAGTGCTATAATAATGAGCAGCATTTCCCTTTTGCTTCCACAGAGAATTTGATTAAATGTAGTCTTATAATTAGTGGTCTGGATGCAGGAGAGCAATCGACTTGGGTCTGGAACTAACCTCTATGTGTTTCTCAAGCTCAAGCATTCACACTCATATGAACTAAGCAACCCAAGTACTGACACACAGGATTGCCTAATATTGCCTGGAAATGGCAGTTATTGATGTTACAACTATTAATTATTATTAAGATGGACTAAAAATGTTTTTTATAATGAAATAGTTCTTGAGATTTCTTTTTTTTTAAGCAGGAAAGACTAGACAAGGGTAAGTAATAAACTCTTCAGAATATTTCCATTTAGAGATCATTTAAGTCAGTGGTAGCTATAACTTTTGCAATTAAAGCACAGAGTTCTCTTTACTAAAATAAAATCTTATTCAGAAGCCCAATGTGTAAAACAGATGAGAACTGAATTACTCTGTAAGAGAGGAGCTGTAAGATGGTAAGTGTGGGAGGGTAAGTAGCTCTATTCCCAGTGCTCGATCCTGCTCCTGATTTCAGGTTAGGAGGGGCCAGACTAGATTCAAAACAATGCATGAACCCAATTCCTGATTTTACAGCTGGTGTACTGAAGCCTAGATAAATTGTAAGTCTTGTTCAATGTCAAGGAGCTAGTTTTGAAAAAGCTAGGATTGTACTTCAAGTCTATTTTTTTTTTCACTCCCAGTGCTTTTCCCATGGTAGTAAAATTTAAAGCATCATCAACAGTCTCGTTATTGAAGTTTAGATTTCATAAGAAACCTTCTCTGATGGAACCAGAGTCAGCTGTCTCGCCGATTCCTTATACGAATGCCCATGTTCCTTCTTAGTGGTATGGTGCACTGCTCTTGTCTGTTTATAAGTATGTCAGTCTTTGAGTTCAGACAGAGAGCAGAGACATGTTTTATTTATGTGCATCCCACAATACCTCTCATGGGATCTGTTTCCTGGATGAACAAACCAATATTTTAACTTTATGAAGACTTGTAGTCATCACTGAAAATTATCTATCAATCCCCTTTTCCATAAAATGAACACATTTCAGTAATCTCATCCACCTCTTGTGCTCAAATGCAGTTTGATAAATAATATCCCCTCAAGGTATAAGGATTACCAAGTTGAGAGATTTAAATCAACTGAAATCTTGCCATAGGGGAAGCTTTACTTAGAAATATATGACATGTTAAGTTATTCAAAGAAAAGCAAAATACCTGCGTATTCTGGATAGCATATAGTGAGGGGGCTCTTTTTGATTTTTTCTTCAAAGAGATCCTTCTTGTTTAGAAACAGTATAATGGATGTATCTGTAAACCACTTGTTGTTACATATGCTGTCGAATAATTTCATGCTTTCATGCATTCGATTCTATAATAAAAAATAAAATCAAGTTTTTATTAACAGCAAGGATCTGGATGACTATTTTTAGAAAACACAATGTTCAATACAACAGGGCTTATTAGTTGAAAAAGAGGTAACTCTCCACTAAAATGCATTTCTACCATTTCAGAACAAGCACACTTTGATGTTAGGCAAGACAGGTGTCTCATGGCTTTTTGCACTCAATAATTACTTGCCAAGTGTTCGCTGTGAGTTCTGTGCTATGCCTGGAAACATCCTGCTGCAGGATGTTATAATCTGATGCCCAACAGTGAACATCTGAAAAGAATTCATGATTATAGAGGTCATCTCTGTTTTCATTAAGAGGTAAGTGGAGCTTTTAAAGATTAATAAATTAAATTTAACAAGTGAAATTCAATTAGTCTAACACTCCAAAGAAAGAAGACTTCCAATTCTTGTTTCTTGCCCTTCCAGGGTCTGTATTCAGCAGGGACACTGAGATATTTTATAGAGCTGAAATGAAAGAAAGTATAGTGTTGCACTGTACCTACTGCATTATAATTGTATATTCTTGATTTTAAAAACACAAACTGAGCCTATCTCTTCTTTATTTCCCCCATGTTGCATTAAAGTTAATTTAAAGTAATAGTTTAAATTTCTATTTCTACTTCTCCAAATTAATGGCAATGAAACATATCTAAAAATTACAAAGCATAGCACACATCAAAGATTACTAAACTGGCAGAAATAACAAGAAAAAATGAGTCTTGGATTATCATGGACCTAACTTTACTTTCATTTAGTCTGTAAGTACAGCATATTGGAAATGCACAGTTAAACATACAGGGTTGAGGTAAAAATGACTCTCAATCTCTTCCTCAAGATGTATCTGTGATTCTTCAGCATTCTTTCCTTTTATTATGCAAACAGAAAAGTTGAAGAAAAGAGCCTGAACTTTCAAATAATTTAGGCATAAGCAAGAATTTCTCAAGAATTTTTCTCAGAAAAGTTCTTGGCAACACCATCTCCAGCTCTGCATATTTCATGCTCAAGCCTCAAAAAGGGTTGTACTTGCCATTTCTTCATCTTCAGCTAGAACCAGGTCATAGTCACTCAGGGCCACACAGAAGATAATGGCTGTCACTCCCTCGAAGCAGTGGATCCACTTCTTCCGCTCAGACCTCTGACCTCCCACATCAAACATTCTGCAAGAGCAAAAATCATGGGTTGACATCCCTTACATGTTCAAAAGCTCCAAGGGGCTCTGTAAAAATGCTCCAAACAGCTGGAGGAATGTGGGATGGAAAGAAAGGAGAAAAGGACTGAGTGGGAGGAAAACAATGTCACAAATTGGTTTTCTCAAAGGGAAAAATGTCTGTTTTTTTTTTTTTTTTTTTTACATCTTTGATTGCAAAGCGGGTATCTCTAATAAAAATAAACACCCTCAACAACAAGACATTCATTAACAATTAACATATGAGAACACTTACTTAGGACATTAAAGCAAATACAAATGAAAGGACTGTCCTACATGTAAACACTGAGAAGTCACATGAAGCAACTGGGGAATACAAAGATCAAAGAGTACAAATTCAATTTGCCAGTCATGGAACATTAGGGGCAGAGGGCATGGCTTCCACTTCCTACAGTGAGTTTCTCTCAGAAGCAAGAACCAGTATGTTATTACTTTCATGTAAAGGAGAAACAATTCCAGGTAGGAAAATGTAGGATAAGCAAATCAAATTCAAATAAGGGCAAAAAACTTGCCTAGATGAAAAAATAAAATTGTGGTATGCAAAAAATGAGAACTGAAAATATGAAATAAATTGTGGACTTACTGAATAGTTGTGGAATTTGGAGTGGGAAAAAAAAAAACCCTCAGTTTTTACACAATATACAATAGCGACCATTACAGGTAAGTGAATGAGGTAATAACACTATCAAACTGCATAGCGACAGTGGCCTTTTCCTCTTTTTCCTGGCAAGAGATTATAAAGTTAAGCAAAAGTTTAAATTTGCATAGACTACATTATGCAACCTAGAAATAACCACTTATATAATGGAAACACCATGCAAACTGGTACATTTTTAAAAGCTCCATTTATCTAGATGGTGCACTAATTAAAACAGTCCCTTGTTTAATTCCCAGGCAAAAAGAAGTTTCCCTACAGAGCAGTATTGGCCTATAAACCAACTCTGAGCACATCAACTACTATTGTTACTTTTATCATCATTTAAAAATGCAGCCTTTGTTTCAGTTAGCCAGAAATTTTTCATTAAAGTGTGCCACATAACAAAAGAATTCCACCACATAAGTCAAAATGGATAAGAAACAACAGCAACAAAAAGGATAGAATACAAAATGGATAAGATGCAAAAAACGGCAATAGAGGTCAAACAAGAATAAAGTAAAAGAAAATATATTTATCTTAATTGCAAAAACATTTGTAACATTGCTTTAGAACATGACTTGAAAATAATAGATAATCAGAGAGCTAGCCTTTTCTTAGAAAACTACTCTGATCAAATGTTACCTATTCTCTGTCTTTTCATTATAACAATCCACCTCAACCCATCCCACATTTTCTCTCTGTGCTGGTGACTTTTGTGTTATCACCTTGACTCAACTATTACAGTTATTTAATCAAACACTCCTCTAGGTGCGGCTGTGAAGGAATGTTCTGGGTGCAGTTAACATCTATAATCAGCTGACTTTAGGTCAAGAAGACTGTCCTCAATAATATGGACAAGTCTCTTGCAATCAAGTCAAAAGGGTGCTAAGGGCAAAAACTGAGGTTTCTCAGAATAAAATGAAACTCTTCCACAAGACTGCACAATAGCCTGTCTCTGAGCCTGTAAACCTGCACTACAGGCCATCAGCATCACCACATGGAAGTCAATTCCTTGAAATAAACACAACTTATTGGTTCTGTTTCTCCAGAGAATACCCAAACTGGTACCTAGACAGGGGTGCTAAAAATGTGTAAGTAGCTTTGGAATTAGAAGACGAACAGCAAGTAGAAGAATCCTGAAGCACTTCACCGGGGGAAAAAAAGAAAAGAAAAAAAAAAAATCTAGACTATTTTGAAGATACGGGTAATAGAAATACAGGTATTAAAGACTCAGATAGAAGTGAACAGTGGAAAAGCTTTCATTGTTTTAGAGAATGCATATATTGCCATGAACAGAATGCTGGTAGACAGATCAACCTTGAGGCTTTTTTTAATGAGGTCTTAAAAACAAATAAAAACACATTATATCCTGTAATCCCAGTGGCTTGGGAGGCTGAGGATTGAAAGTTTAAAGCCAGCAACTTAGTGAGGCCCAAAGCAATTTAGTGTTACCTGGTACCAAAGGTGGGCTGCTGGACATGTTATACATTGTAAAATGACAACCAGTTGGCTGAATTGGGTAGAAGACAGAACTTGTAAGCAATGATTGTAGATGTACAGTGGAAGATATTTGTAAAAAAAAGTGTGAAAGGTTCAATTCTATTTTTCTATTTTTCTCTGGTGCTCACAGTAAAACAAGAGCAGAAAGGTATGCTGAGGAAAGAATTATTAAGCAAAAGGAAACCACCCACACACATACACACACAAACACACACACACACACACACACACACACAGGGAAGAAGGACTCCTGAAAACAGGTAAATACTGGAGTGACACGGCTACAAGCCAAGGAATGCCATGAATTGCCAGCCACTACCAGCAAGTAGCTAGGAAGAGGAGAGGAGATTCTTTCTTAGAGCTTTGGGACGGCACAAGGCCTAGCTGACATATTGATTCCAACTTTCTAACTCCCAGAACTGGGAGAAGATACATTTCTACTTGTTTTGGCACCTAGTTTATGGTAATTTGTCATGGCAGCCTGGGAAGTGAGCAGATCCTCTTACCAAGTATTTTTTTTCCTATAAATTCTTCTTTTCCCTATTGCTCTTCTCATCTCATAAATATTCAATTTGTATAATTTATTTTCTCTTCCACACCCCAGTTCTACCCCAAGAATGTAAAGATGACGAATTTTTTTTCCTCTTTTTTGTTCACTTTACATCCGAACATTGAACACACGTAGCAAGTACTTCACAAATCTTTATGGTCTGAATGAATAAACCATGCCTAAAGAATATTAACATTTTAAAGGAATAATAGACTTTGTTATGTTCAAAATGTAGATCTACCAGTTACTTTGTGGAAAACTTAAATATGAAAGAACTTTAGTCATCATTTAATAAGTAATTTGACTACAGAAGAAATCTCTTCAATGTATATATTTAATCAATGAAATGTAACTAAATGAGGATCCTTCATGTATTTCTTATGAACAAAGAACTTTTGGTCTAAGCCAGTGATTTTCAAACTTCCGTGAATGAGAATCAATAGGTGGGAGACTCGATACTACTGGTCTGGGGAACATATGTTTGAAAGTCAATTAGTTCTTAAGTCAAAGAATAACAACTGGGAATTGAGATCAGAAATGACTGGACTTTGCTTAACAGTTCAGTAGCATTTAGAGAGAGAGAGATGAAGATAATCACTGGAAGAACCACTAATTTTTATCAGTCTTAAATGTTCCATGAAAAGGCAGATAAAATACAAAGCATTATTCATTGTTTGACAAAGAAGACAGAAATATCTTAATTATTTAATATGTTTTTTTGAAATTCTGAATCCCTCTATTGTTTAAATGAATAACAAACAAAAAAGTAGTATGTTCTCCATAAAAAAAGATAAGACTTTTGACTAGCATCAAATAGGGAATGAATTTGAGTTTTCACTAGGTTTCTGGAGAGAGGAATAGAGGGGAGGCTGAATACCCTGAGCTGTGTGCTTACCTGTCCTTGGACTGTCACCTAATACCACTGTGATCAAGAATGAGCAGTACAGAACTGACCAACTTGGATTTCACACTTATAAGCAGAACACTATATTCCAAAACCTATTACACACTTATAGTAAACAAATATATATTTATCGTACACTATGCAAATTTTCTAATATAAGGATGCATTAACACTGTATCTGAAAATGGTTTAATAAGCTGTTGATTCTTTAATTAAAGTAAACCACATGGGCATGGGTCATAAATGTCCATTCAGAGAGATGATAATATGAATTCTTAAATTAAAATAAATGCCCTATTGCCTCATTTTGAATTTGTTAATGGCAAAAACACAAAGAAATTTGAAACTTAGTTTACTCTTTGGTTAAAACCAAAGAATTATAACATGAAATACTCTGGAACTACAGATGATGACTGCATAGAGAGTTCCCAGCAGAATCATTCTAAACATGTTTCTGCCCTCATCCATTCTCCAATGAGGAGAAAATAAAAAGAAAAGTTGAGCTGGGTGATGGCAGCATAGCGGCTCAGGAGGGTGAGGCAGGAGGATTCCAAGTTCAACCTCATCAACTTAGTGAGGCCCTAAGCAATTTAGCAATATCCCATCTCAAAACTGAAAAAGGAAAAAAAAAAAAAAGGCAGGAGACTTGGCTCAGTGGTCACTTTGGTTACGCATCTCTGGATTCAATTCCAGTATCAAAACAAACAAACAAACAAACAAAGGTTGGGGGGGGGAAGCAAAGTTGGAATCATATAGATTAGCAATGCTAATAATTTAACAGAAATCAAATAAAGACAAAATTTATCTGAAGTTCTAGAAAAACCTGTGTTTATTTTAAGTCAATAAACCAGAGCACTAATTACTAATTAAATACTTTCCATTAAAATATACCTCACCCAAGAAGCCCAAATGGAGCAACGTAAATGGACTTTCTGGGAATCATGGTGAGAGTCAACTTCACTGATCTTAGGACATGCTTGATGTTGAAATGACAGTTTTAAAACATGCAGCTAGATTTTATCTAAATAAGTGAAGAGTATGGCCTGAAAAAAAAATACTTAAAGTACATTTAACTAGGATGAAAAGTGAATTTCACAGTCAGCTTGCCCTTAAGTATCAAGTAACTGATTTAACGTTTGCCATTATCCTTTGTCCTCATTTATAGTTTTAACCTTTGTGATTTTTTTAAATAGGCAATAATTTGCTTTATCTTTAAGCATTTGACCAAGAGCAAGGCTGTGATAGACTCTCTGTTAAGAATCCTTTTTTTTTGGGGGGGGGGAATGTCCTGATAGAAATTCTAAGATATTTTTTAAACTATAATTATTAATATATATTATTTTTAAATTTTATTTATTAAAACATAATTGTACAAATTGATGGGATACACCTGTATTAACTGTGTCCATCCACCCTTCTTTCTATTCTTGGTGCCTCATTTTCCTCATTGGACTTTTTTTATTAGTACATATTATTTATACAGCTACTTAATAGGAGAACTTAGACCTAGAATCCTTACTTGCTTATCTATAAACTTATATCAAAATAATTTATAAGAACACAATCTTTAACAAGTAAAAAAAAATCAGAAAGATGCACTAAATTTGAAAACATAAATTCTCTTTTTAACAGTAAACTTCCTTAAAGTTAACAATCACTTAATAGTTTTAAGATAAATAGGATGACAGTTCCCAGATCAGACATATCACATGGCCATTAAGCATCTGTCAAGTACAGTAGTATACCAAAAGACAGTAAGTAATTCAAGAAAAGAGAACACCAGTAGCTCAACATGACACTGGGGCTTAACAGTGAAATAAGCTCTGGGTGTTGTGGTGCACACCTGTAATCCCAGTGGCTCAGGAGGCTAAGGCAGGAGGGTTGCATGTTCAAAGTCAGCCTCAACAACTTAGAAAGGCCCTAAGCAAAGCCTTAGTGAGACCTTAATGAGGCCATGTCTCAAAATACATAAAGTAGAAAAGGGCTGGGGATATGTGACTCAGTGCATAAGCGCCCCTGGTTTCAATCTCTGGTACCCTTCCACAAAAAAAAAAAAAAAAAATTAGACTGCTTCATGAATCAAGCACAGTTAACACTGCCAGACAAACTAGCTATGATGTGAGTATTCATTTCAGAAAGCACAGCAATGATCTTTTTTTTTTTGGGGGGGGGGATGGGTAAAAGAGGACATGGAAAATTGAAATGGAACTTTTGTTCTCTAAAAAACTCAGTTCCTTGAACCACTGATAAATCAGTAAGAAAAGGAAGTAACAAATGTATTCTCTTTCAGATAGCTGTGGAAGCAATCATAGGTATAGCTGTAAATATTTAACAGTGCTTTCAGCTTGTAACAGTTAAGCTTTCTTTAGGAAGTGAACCAATGATTTTTATCTCTGGCTTGGAACATTTTGTTAATGTTTTTAGAAATTCTGCTTTACTGTCATTATCATTTCAGAGCATTAGTCTAACCCATAATTCATATTAAAGCCCTATTTTAGAATGATTATCTTGAATCAAAACATTTTCAATCAAAGTAAAAAAGAAGAGATAAAATAATAACAATATGGGATACTCTATTTGTAAGCCAAATTACTTTTTGACATAATTACAATTTGTTGGTTGTTTCTTTTTTCTTTTTTTTTTTTTACTTTTAATGTTTTGTTTTTCATTTTTGATTCTACATTTATGGAACTATGGGGATGGAGAAGGATAAAAGCTAAGGGAAAATATATATATATATAGTCTTGTAAAGTTTGAGTTTTTACAAAGAATATAAAAATCTTCAGTAACAATTTGAAAAACAAATCTATCACAAGTACAAAACAAATGATCTATCTAAACTCTTATAGTATTTTAAAAACTGGATCTCTAAAAAAAGACATGTAGTATAAAGATTATGAAAACCTTAAAACAGAGCACAAAGGCGTTTTGTATTTATTTATTTATTTATTTTTTACAGGGACAACTGGTGCATGCTCAATTTGAGTCAGGCTGTCTGCAAAGCTCTGCAGGTGTACAGCAGCACCTGACTGCACCTTATGCATGACTGCAGCTGCAATCTTCCTGAAAATGAATCTTAACCTTCTTGGATTTAAAAACAAAAAACAAAAAAACACACCAAAGAGACAAAAACCTCTACATATTAAACTAAGAAAAATAATAAAAATAAAACCCACATATCCACATGTTTAATTTTAGCATTTTTTTCTATCCAATACTACTTATTAGCTAATATTTATATGGATCAGGGAACATGTGAGTTTTCCTGAGTGTGAATAATGTGACTCTGTTGTGTTGGTGAGATTTAGGCTCTGACTCTGTGAAGGGCCTCACAAGCTGTTCAAGGGCTTGGTGTTCAGTTTCCCTTCAGCTGGGCACTTAAATGGCACTTAGGAAATGTGACATTTTAAATGAATTTAGATTATGAGAAGCTAGTTTTGTTTTTTTTTTTAAACTTGCTGCCCTCTTCATATAGCTTTAAAGTATGGAAATGGATAATACAAGGAGGAAAGAAAGGAATAGCTATTTTTTTTTAAACCAGTATATATATATTTTTTCAGATCAAGTAAAACCACAGTGGTCTGGGATGTTTATGAAAACATAGACGTTTTATGTCAGTAGAAAATTCTGTGGTGTTAAATCATTTACTCATGCACATATCTTTGTACAGGATATAAAACCTCATTTTCCTTTATCTTATTGTTATTATTTTAACTGGAATAAGGCACATAGAATTGGTGAGCAACAATGCACACATACAACAATTCTGACTAGGTGAGTTATGAATTATTAAGTGGAAAATTTAGATAAAATAGCAGATGACTTGACAGGGAAAACTAGATGAAAGTAACTGATGAAAAGACCTTACAGATAAAATAAGAATATGCAAATTAAAACATTATATTTGCTTAAGTCCAACAGTTTTTCTCTTATCTTGAAAACAGTTATTTATTGGAAAAAGAGAAATCCAATTCTGTAAATTTGTATGCAATGTTTTACTGACCTTCCCTGAGCCTGGTTCCTTATAAAATGAGGGAACTCTCAGAACTAAAGGAACTCTAAGAGCCCTTCCATTAAAAGCTAAAATTCAGTGCTTCTCTGTTCAGAACTCAGGAAGTTAATATTCAATACACTTTAAGTAAACATTTCTCATCATGAAATAGTGCAAATATCACTTGGCTATGAATAAGATTTTTCTTGAAAAATTTTAAAAGCCACCCTTCTTTTCAAACATTTCCATAAATAAGCAAATATTCTATTGATAAAATCAGAGGGCAATATTTCCCAGTATTTTCTGTTCAGAAATAAAAGCCAAAATACTATTTTCATTTAAACCACTGTAAAAATTACAGGCATTTATCTGGCATCTTTTCTTAAATAAAAATGAAAACATTCCTTATACGAATGCTTCTTTTAGACCTCTTTTGCCCTCCCCCCCAATTCTTTTGTTTAATCATTTGTGCAAAGTTTTTCTGACTGCAATTTCTAAGCATAAAAATGTTATGAACACTTACTATCTTTTATTTCTAAATTTATAAATAGTATGTTTGGAAGCTACTCACTTAAAATGAAGATCTTTGAAAGTAAAATGGGTTTCAACAATCCCTGTAGTTTTCACTCTGGTTCTGAGAACATCTTGCTGAGTTGGGATATAATTTGGTTGTGCTATTCTGTCCAAATCATTCAAATAGCTGAAAAAAGAGACAACAAAACAACATGTAAATTATAAATGTTGCCAATAAAGATAATCCAAAACAAAGACTATAATATATTAACGCATGCCATACTGTGAAATCACTGGAAATGTTTTTTAATTTCTGTGTAATGATGTAAAACAATCAACTTAGTCTTAGATCTTACAGGATTTCTAATGACTGAAATGAAACTGTTTATAATTCTCCAGCCATCAATTTCTTTAAGTATTTTTAAAACATGCACTTTGTCTTTTAGGTTCAGTAATCCAAAGGAAAAAGAGAATTTATTTTAAAAATCCCAAGCTAATGAACACCATGAATTTATGCTTATTATCCATTATACTTTTTTGATGAACTGTACTTATGTTCTATATATTACTCTTCTGTTAAAGATTTTAAAAGTTTTAATTTTGGTGCAAGTACTGAGGATACCTTAGGCAAAGGCTGAATGAGATGCTGCTGCTTCTTAGTCTTATCTGCAGGATAAGACTGCACATGACTCCTGTAGTCTGCTTTCAAAACCGACACCCACATTATACTTCTCAATGATTTTAGTCACTCATCTAATACTCTCTCCAAAGGATGTCAACTATTTCATGATACAAAAAATGTAGTGTTACCATATAACGCAATATAAAAATGAAAATTATTTTTGCACTATTGTGTGGTAGAGGCAATAACTAACAGAAAGTCCAGGTATGGAAGGTTAATAAGGGCCTGAATGTTAAAGGATTCATGGACAGTGATAATATAATCAGAAACATGAACAATGGGGTGAAAAACAGGGCATGTCGCTTCTGTTAGAAGCAGTGGAGACAGAAACAGTGAGGTCTTAATTCTTGGAGAGCAGCCCCATTTACAGGCTGTGTACAACCTAAATGAGGTCAGCTGAACATGGTGGGCATCCCTGCAATGTCCTGAAATACTACAGCAGCACTAAACAGATAACTTAGAAATAATTTGGGCACAGAGAAACACCAACTACTAGTGAAACTGCAAATTGGTATTAAATTCTGAACAGAATGCTTAGCCATTCAGAACAGGGTCTTAAAAACCAAAGGAGTCTGTTACTTTGCAGTGCTAGGGATTGAACCCAGAACCTTGTGGAAGTTTTGGAAGTGCTCTACCACTTGAGCTACATCCTAAATATTTGATTCATTTTAGATAGAGTTGAGAAATTATCCAAATCCTGAATTAGTAACAAAAATGTTATAAACAGTCAAGTATATATATGTGGTGTGGATACTATAATACAGATACCTAAACAAAGCAAAATTTGTAGAACCACACATGCTTCAGATTCTGGAGTCTTTCAGATTTTGGATTTTTGGATTAGAAATGCTGATCATTTCTTGTAGATGTGGTGATACCAGTCAGTAATATATTTGCTCAATTTAAGAGAATCTTATCACAGTGGTGACAATACCCTTGTATTTTCTCTGAGCCTTTAATGCCATAACTATGCTATATATTACATGATGTATAATATACATGTATTACATATTATACATTATGCACCAATATATTATACAAGGTTACAATTTATCATAGGAAAATATGATTTAACAAATCAACCAAATGAACCATACCAACATTTTACTATTGACGCCTTTAAAATAGTTCTTATTTAAAATGCACTTTGATTACTCAGATTCAATTTTTATTAAAACTGCTATAATTCTAATAGACCCTAAAATAGGCATACTCATATTTCAACAAAACGGAAAAGAAAAACAGGCATTGTTTAAAAAAAAAAAAAAAAAAAAACCTCCCACTGTGGGCTGCTGTTGTGTGGCTCAGTGGTAGAGCACTTGCCTGGCACATGGGAGGCCCTGAGTTCGGTCCTCAGCATCACATAAAAAATAAAGTTAAAAAAAAAAAAAAACAACTCACATAGTTTTAAATGATCACAAGTTTAAACTGCAAATGGATACTTAGTCCTAATGACAGGATAACACCACCTCCAGTCCAGAACTCAGAACTGAAGATACATGTCAGCACTCCAGAGGAAAAGATTTCTCTGACTTCCTTCATTCTTGAAAACTGACTACATTATTGCATATTAAGTTTAGAAAAAGCAAAAATAATAACAATAATCAAAGCAACATGTTTTTCCCAATGCATGTCCAAACAGCATGCACTGAAACAGATGGTTCTTGGTCAAAGAGGATGGAGAGGCCTGGAAGTATCCCCACATTGTGAGGAAGAGGCCTTCGATCTATGCACCCAAGGAGAACTTCTTAGTTACGGAAGCAGCTCCTTTTGCTAAGCTTAGCGAAGTACAATCTTCTATCTCTAATTGTCACTACAATTTGAATTTTTCAGCAGGTACTGATAGTGGCAAAACAAATAACATGGTTTAAGAGTTATGTTTTTCCTTTAAGTAATTTTTCTAATTTGTCTTCTACCTTGTGTGAAGTTTGGCTTATTAATTCATTTATTATTAAACAAGATCAGTCTGAGTGACAACTACCTGTCAGGCTATGGTGATATGTTAGGCAAAAACAGACATTACTGAATTCAGTGTAGTGACAGAGACAGTAAATGATTAAATAGTCACAACATAACAAGAAAATAAAATAAACTCAAAATATTTGTAATTCTGAAGGAAAAGTACAGAGTATTACAAGTACCTAACAGTGGGGCAAGGATCTTCTCAGAGCACCAAAGAGTGTTTTCTTGTAGAAGTGATGACACCAGTGAGAAAGGTGGGCTCATATTCAATAAGCCACACAGGTAACAAGGTGTTCGCACAAGTATGAAAGTTAAAGTATAAATTAAGAAACAGGGTTACAAAGATTGCTGTGGGTGATGTGATGCATGTTATTAATTCACATTAAATCACAGGACACATGGGGCAAACTCAGATGTCCAACAACATGTGATAAGACACTTGGGTCCACACCCCATTAGTCTGTTGCTCACTGTAACCACATGCATGCCATTTACCAAGAGCCTCAACACTTTGTTCTCATCTAACTAATCCTTACTTTGGTTCCTAACAGCCAACACAACTCTTTCAGCAAAACAGAACACTATCAGAAAGTAAAGAGTACATGATACATATTTTAAAAACCAATTAACGCTACTTGTGCAATAACTCACATTTCTGGGTATGTGACCCAAACTATGGAACAATCACTTGGTGTTTTCTTGTTTTTATATCATTTTGTGTGTGTGCTATATCACAAAATAGGAAGTTGGCTGGGTTTTATCACAACTTGCTTTGCAAACTTTCAGGGTTCACCACCCGGAAAATTAGGGCAGCCTTTTTTTCCTAAAGAACTTATATGTAAGTATCTGTAAGGCTAGGTGTGGTGGTGCATGCCTGTAATCCCAGCGGATGGGGAGGCTGAAGCAGGAGGATCGCAATGGTGAGAAACTAAGAAACTCAGTGAGACCCTGTCTCTAAATAAATAAATAAATAAATAAATATATAAAATAAAAATAAGTATTTGCAAACAGTAGCTCAAGTGTCAGGACACAAACAGCAAACAACCTTCAGGTGTAGTGGTATTTTACTTAATGAAAAAATATCTTGGGAACACCATGCAGTACTTCAAAAGATCCCTAGTTTAGGTGCCTGTCACTGAACAAGTACACTTCTTAGGCATCATTAGCATTATGAAAAGCACCCACATCACTTACCCTCTCATTTGGCTAGCTTCAAGTAAATTAGACATATACTCAAATGCACCATGAACTTTTGGAAATTCCAATTATTTTCTTGGAAATATACAAGATACCTTCCCATTATGCATGCTTCAATTAAAGTTTACATAACCAAGAATCTCTTAAGGTATCACTGAACACACAGGAAATAAAAACATTCCCATCCATAAACATACAAAAAAAGAGAAAGTTTTAAAATATTGTCATCCTGAATATTCCTGAGTTGAACAAGATTATGTCAACCAAATCTGCAATAAAATTGACTTGGAGGTATATTTGACTCACAAGTAATTATTCATGATAGTGCAGTTCAGAAGTTATGATTACTTACTATGCTGCAGAATCATTAAGCTGGTACTCTCGGGATCTGTTGAAACAGGCTTGTACACCGCTATCTTTCCACAATCTCTTTATAACTCCAGCAAGTTCTACAGTCATAAAGCCTTCTTCAGCAGCCCCAGCAAGCACAAAGAGTTGGCGGGCGTCATCCTGAACATTCAACAACCCATTTTTTAGAGAGTAAAAAGAGAGACATTAGAGATTAAAAAGTACAAATGGAGAGATTAGAGATAAAAATGCAATATTGAATTTGCTTATATTTTGATAGAAGTGTCCTAGCTTCTCTCTCTCTAAAACACCCTTAAGAAATTGGCTTAACCAAGAGAGTATAATCATAAATCAGGAGCTTATGTTTTTATGGTATTAGCAATATTCCCCAAGGCACCAGGAAGCTGCCAGAATTTCTTCAGTTATGGTACATGAAGGGGACCTGAGTTTACTATCTACACTTTTCTGCATACTAGATATGATCATTTTTGAGAAAACAGAGGAAGAGTCTTGTCTTGCTCCTTCTTGCTTAAGATGTTTTCAATCTAAGAAACATAAAACACCATGAATGATTACATTAAATAGAATCCATTTAAGTGTGAGCTTTCTGATATAATTTATAGATGCAAAATATGTTAAGAGAAAGGAAAATATCAATGTGGAGTAAGCAAGAAAGGTTTCACACACACACACACACAAATGGTCTGTAGATTCACAGGAGACTTTAAAATGTATATACATCAAAACCAAGGAGGAAGCAGTTGGGAGCAGGTGTTTGCCAACTCAGGCAAGGAGAACAAAATAAGCACATCTTGGGAATAGAAATATTCAAGACACACAGAGAAGACAACAGACAAAAAATTCTAAGTGAGAATACTGTCTATAAAGTTAGCTAAATTGTGCTTAAATATGAGGCTACTAATATTAAGTCTGATCTACAAGTAATCAACCAGTGCTGTCAAAGAAAAAAAAATGTAATGTAAGCAATAATGTGATCTAAATTTTCTAACCAACACTTAAAAGAAGCAAAAGCACAAAAGGTCACATGAAAATAATTTTAATAATATGTTTTGTTTAATCTATATACAAAAATATTATAACATGGAAACAATTAAGTTTACATGAGACAATTCAAATTTTTATACATATTGTCTTCAAAATGTGGTGTGTATTTTACACATACAGCACATGTCAATTCAGAATAGACACATTTTATTCACTCAATGGTATATGTGCATAGAAGCTACCTACCATACTTGATAATATCACTCTAGCCTCCAGGTAATAACACAGCTAATTCAAAGTGGATGGAGGAAGGGAGAAGCTGCTATCTTCATAGAGGTTTTCATTAACCTGAGACATGTTAACTGGGTGGAAAATATTATTATCAAGGGGCATTCTTCCAGATACAGATGGCCTTCAGTTTTCTATGGTTTCTGTACCGCAGATCTAACAAACTGCAGATTGAAGATATTTGAAAAAATAATTGCATTTGTACAAACTTTTTTCCTTAATCTCTAAACAATACTATATAACAACTATTTATATGACATCTACATTGTATTTAGGTATTATAAGTATTCTAGAGATAATTTAAAGTGTATGGAAAGATATGCATAGATTATATGCAAATATTGTGCCATTATGTAAGATACTTCAGAATCTTTGGATTTCAGTATCTAATGATGGTCCTAGAACCAATCCCCCACAGATACAGAAGAATAAATGTATGGTACTAAATGCTTATAAAGAGGAGGAACACATTACGATATGGTATACAGAAGAAAAGATGCAGTTGGTGACACAGCTCATAGCTGACAATGTAAATTCATCCTGCTGCCAGTTTGTGAAGCATTTCCTTTTGGGCTGGAACTCATCATGAAAAATAATTAAGTCTCAGCATGGGAACATATTATTCAAGCATATGTTCCCCTTTTTAGTAAATCACAAGAGAAATATGGGCAAGCAAGCAACATGTGCATAATATCCTTAATAAACCCCATATATCATGGTTTCAAGTCATTCTGAAAACCACTAACCCAATTCCATTAAAAGACTATTCAATTTTCTAAATATTTACTCATATGTGAGAAATTTCTACATTTGATCATTTTTATTTATTAAACTACATCAAATAATTTCTCTGTTTTGGAAAAAATGCTTTTCACTTAAGTATGCTTTTAAATGCATTTTGGTTATAGTATCTTTATTCAATTTCAATAAATTTTTGAAAGGGAAAGACCAATGCCCTCCAGGATAGGTCAGGAGATCATTCTTGCCTCTAACTTTCTAGGAAGAAGCCTAAAGAAAACGCAAAAGAAACTTTGGAAGCTCTATTTATAAACTGCACTTTCTGTGGCATTCAAAAATGTCTCTTCCTTTTTTTAGATTCAACATACAAGTGGGATCATGCAATATTTTTCTTTCTGTGTCTGGCTCATTTCACTTAGCATAACTTCCTCCACATTCAAATGAATGAACGAATGTCAAATATACAGAAAGACTTCAACAGCAGAGGGACATAGGAAGTGAGAAAGGAAATGAAGAGATGTAGTTCAAAGGTTAAAGGAACAGACATGTAGGATGATCAAGTCCAAAGAAATTACAACATTCGAACTATAAATAAACAAAAAAGTATTGCATCAGAAATTTTTGTTAAGTATATTTTAGCTGCTCTTGTCACAAAAAAATGTAACTATTTGAAATGAAGGATATGTTAATTTGCTTCAGAATAGTAACCATTTTACTATCCATATGTATCCCATAAGGTCAAATTCTAAGCCTCAAAAATAGACAGTATTAAAATGCAAAATAGCTTCTACTGGAAAAATAACTAAAACATTCACCTCCATGTCAGTAGCTGAATGTTCAGATGCTGAATTTGAGCTGGAAGGCACTGTAGAAATTATTCTATGTAATCTTTTGTTTTGTACAAAAAGAGCCCAAGGGCAAAGAGAAGTTAGACAATCTGCTTAAAGTTTCACAGCTAAAAAGTCACCCAATGGTCATTTAAATTGGTAAGTCAACAATTGCTCAGTAGCAATTGTCTAAAATAGGACAAATTTCAAAACTGCAGAATGGAGGCACTGATTTTATCTTGACAAGGAATGAGGTCTTCATAGGTTTGTATTAAAATTAATTAAGAACATTTATAAACACAAACATGAGGGTACCAAAAGGGTGTGGTACACAGTAGGAAAAGGGCAGGTATTACTGAAAACAAGATTGAAGTTTGATTAGGAGGTACAAAGGCTAGTAAATCAGTATACAGAAACTTTTCTGTGGTAATTTAAAAAAAAAAAAGAGCACCTAGCAGGGGTGTGGCTCAGTGGCAGAGAACACTTGGCTTGTGCAAGGCCCTTGTTCAATTCACAGCATTCCCCTCTAAAAAATATAAATAAAAAAGTAAAGAAAAAAGGAATGTTATTTGCCAAGCAATTATTTGAGAATAGCAAGGGGAAAAGAAATTCTTGGATGTAGCCAAGTTAAAATGTTTTTAAATTACTAAGGACTAAATGAAAATAAGATGGTTCAGAGAATGCAAATTTCATATAACATATACATATAACTCTGCTTTGAAAACTCAAAAGAAGCTACAATATGTTATTGTGTCTAGAGAGAAGTAACCAGTCTTTTTCCATGAAAATCAGGTAACACCTAGTATGCAGTACTTTCTTGCTGTTTAGTGATGTGCATTATATGTGCAACTATCATCCACTTGATCAAATCCACAAGAGTCTGTTCAGGATGGGGGAGGGGAGATGCTGAGGGACCACAATGGCTATCTCTGACATATTAAAGATCATAAAAGGTAAGAAGGAGTAAACTTCCTGTTGAGCTTAGAGCAGAAAAAGGAGCATTCTTAAGACAAAAGATATAAGCTTTCAATTGAATATTGGGAACACACTTTAACAATCACAGCAACCTAAAAGAATAAAAAAAATGGACAGAAAATTTTTCCTTTTTTCTTTTTGCCCCTTTCAGTTCTAGAGATTTAATCCAGGGGAATTTGACACTGAACTATTCCCAGACTTTTGTTTGTTTTTTAATTTGTAGAGAAGGTCTCACCAAGTTGCCAAGGCTGACCTCAAATGTGCATTCCTCCTGCCTCAACCTCCCAAGTAGGTGGGATTACAGGCATGTGCCACTGCACCAGGTAATGCAGAGGTTGGGGGATTTAAACAGAAGCTAGATAACATAGCAGACAAAACTTATGGAGGAGACTGAGTTCACATAAAAAATATCAAAAAAGACATTCTAATGTATAGGCTAAATAATATTAAAAAATAGTGATATCTATGAATTTTGAGTCATAGGAATAAGAGATTAATGTCAAGGTTGACTTATAAATGAATGTCTTGATTCAGCGGCTTATCTTAAACCACATAGGATAAAAACTTCTCATTATTTAATCTACCATACTTATATAGCATACCATTTTACTCCAATAAATTTAAAACAACTGTACTGTTCTATTGTATCCTTAAGGAAAGCTTAAGAACTTTAATGTGTTCATCACACCATGGCTCATGGTGCCCATTATAAGATGTTAAAGGGTTGCTTTAAGAAACAAGTATGTGTCAAACACACATTTTCTGTAAAAACACAAATCTAAGTAAAAAAGACTTGAGGCAAGAAAATAGGCAGTCATTATTCTTTTTTTCCATAAGATTGTTTAAAAGGGGAAAAAAGCCTAAAAATAAAATAAGTTAATTTTAACTAAATTGCAGAGAGCAAAAATTTTAACTAAATTGCAGTGAATTTAGTATGAAGCATAAGCTTCATTATATCAAGAAGGAAAATTACTGATAAAATGTATGACACAAATATAATTTTAATGCCTATTCATGAATATTATATATGTATACATATTTTCAAAATATAAAATAAAGAAATATTGATACTTATATGTTCTTTATATGAATAACAGAAACTGTTGTCAATGGAGATACAGAAGAATATGGTAAGAAGTGAAATGAGGAAGGTAGAAATATGAAGTGCTAGAAGCACACATTATTTTTCAAGTAACTATCATTTTTGCATATATTGATATTTCTCAAAACGAAAACAATATAAAAGTATAAGTTCCTTCATTTTATGTCTCAAATATAAATCGGGAGCTGTAATAAATGACTCAAATATTAATCAAGAAAAAACAAATT